TATTTAGTACAAGTTAAGTTACGCCTTGGCAACTAGCTGAAATAAAAAAGGCTTTTATATTTTATTTAATTTCAAATGTATTTACTTATTTAATTTATTGTTTATTTTATTTCAAGTAAGTAGTTTTAGTTAACTATAATAAGCCTGCGGCCATTAAAAAGTAGAACAGAAATTCTCTGCTGGAAATTATTTCTGGGCTTAAAGTAGGTCACTGAAATGAGCTCTCAAAGTGAAGGCTGTTGTCTCACCTGGCAGTATGGCCTCATCTTTCCCTCTGATCTCTTTCTTCATGCCCTCCGTAAGAGCCTCGAACATCACCTGGATCAGATGGCATGCTGAAAGAGACACGGTGGAAGCAGCAGAACCCATGACACCGCACAACCGGTCCATGCCCACCTCGTTCACAATGGCCATGGTCTACAAACAAAACAATATGCATAACTTAAGATAACCTTTGGGTTAAAATAATAAACTTGATTGTGAGGGGACGTTACTCACCCTTGACTGGTGTCCGGTGCACAGGCCAACCAGAGTTCTGAGAGCAGAAAGGATCAGATCCTCCTGCTGGGAGTCAAGAAGATTCTGGAGGAGTTTGACTCCATCATTTCGGAAGATCTGCTCAGCGCCTGCGTCCTCCCGTGAAAGCACCACCAGATTCTGAGCAGCCTGATTAAAACGCAACCGAGAACATCTCAAAGACTGTATGTTATATATTTTAATTTTAAGTTTAAAGGCGGCCTTTCCCACCTTCTGTCTGTCTGAAATTGGGGCTGAACTGTCCAGAAGGAGTTTGAACATCTGTTGAACTCGTGAGTCTGTGGAGGAGAGCTGTGCTGCCTGTATATAAACACAAATATGGCTTCGTTTTCAGGTCATAAACCGTAATAGTGATGCTCTCCTTCACAAGCACCACTCATAACCCACCTTCTGCTGGATCTGTGCTCCTAGCTGTCTAAGCAGGTCCTGGAAAGCTTTATTCTTGGGTTCCAGCTGTGCACATTTCTGAGCGTCCGTAAACGCCTGGTCTAACCGTCCGAGCTTCTGCAGAGCCTGTGCTCGACGGAATCGGGCCTTGACGTCACCTTGATCCACGTCCAAAGCTTGAGAATGAAAAACACAACTCGGTTAGAGTGATGAACATGAGGTTGGTCATGAAGGCGAAATCCTAGATGTCATTTTTACCTTTGGTGGCATCTGCCTCTGCTTTGGTATGGTCTTCAAGTTTAAGATAGCATGCTGCTCGGTTGCGGTACAGAACCGCACTCTCGGATTGACAGTCGCTGATCTTTAGAGCTTTGGTGTAGCAGCTGAGAGCTTGTTGCACATCACCGGCTTTAAAATGGTTGTTTCCTTCCTCCCTCAGCGTAGAGGAGTCCTGGGACATCTACGTATTAATAAAAACTCATTAAATTTGGAAATAGAATAGAACTGAACTATATAGAATAGAATAGATATTTTATTGCAAAATGAATGGGGATACTGCAATCATTGGCACTGCAATATGCAAAACAAATGCATTTAAAAATGAAGAACAATAAAAGTCACGGTAACACTTTATTTTAACGTGTCCTTGTTGCACATGTTATATGTACTTACTATTATAATAACAAGTAATTATGCATAATTACATGCAAGTATCCCTAAGTCAAACCCTAACCATATGTAATTAATTAATATTACTCAGTACTTAAATGTATAATTGCAAAGCAAACAAGGACACCTTAAAATAAAGTGTAACCAAAGTCACTACACACAAATTTGTTCGCAAATCATACATATTGCATTATGTGTAGCATCATATATACAGGCATCATAACATCTGTGTCTAGAGCTGTAACAGTAACTATGGTGAAGTTGCATGGTAAACATACTCACCTATATGGTGAACAAACAAACTCAAACTCACCTTTCACTGCGTCGTTTCCGTTTTTCAGATAAAAAAAACGTTCGGGGCTTTAATACAATCTAAGATATTTCCACTTGTTTTAAAAACGCCGTAAAATATTCCCAGTGCTCTCAAACTCTGCAGTGTTTCTGTTCACTCTGTTCTCGACTGTTCTGCCTCTGCGCTTCCTGGTTTTGATGCGCAATGATGACGCCGCAGAATCCTACTGGTCGAGCGTCTAGTTGCGTCATTAATATTCATGAGCCCAGCCTTGAGTACCGTGGGATTCGAAGCTCCGCCTCATTTGCTCACTCATCTTGACCATATAAATTCAGCATAGGAATCTATTCATTTGAATTCCGTTGTACTGACAGAGGCAATAAAATAAAACATGCATATCTGCCTTTCCCTCTGCTGAAAGAATGTCTATCTATCTATCTATCTATCTATCTATCTATCTATCTATCTATCTATCTATCCATAAAGCATTGACTTTCAAAAATAAAAGCACACCGAGAAGTATTCGCTAAAAGTGTGACAACAACTAGCACCGGTCTGGATTGATTAAAATTTTAACACGTACTAACCCCTACAGTAATCTAACCAATCGGAAGCCAGTGCGCCTCAGCCCTCAGAAAACTTCACTTCCCACAATGCTCTGCTCCATTCTCAAGCTCTCGCATAGGATCACAGACGTCTTTCAGGAAGAAATAACGGGTAAATATTTGATGTCCCGTGACTGCTTTCTCGTTTAAAATCCATGCCACTAACAGGTCAGCCGTTTCAAAAACGCTAGAAGTGCAGTATAATGATTTTAAACGTTAGAAAGGTGTTTTCTGTAGCTTGATCGCGCGCTTGTATTGAAGAATAGACCAGAGTCAATGTATTTACATGCTGCACGGGCATAGTACGTGATCGTACCTGCGGATCTAGCTGATAAACTCTTATATTTGTCTGATCTTGAGCGGGAATGCCAGTTAGAGGTGGATAGATCGGATAAACGAGTAACTTGCCTCCATGTGCAGATATAGGCTAAGGCTGTCTGTGGATATCAGTGGGTTTGTCTATGGCGACAAGCGGGTTTAATGATAAACTATGTGCTTAAAGGCTCTGATATCATTGCTGATCATAACCTTCCCACACAAGAAGAGGCCATTATTTCAGGCATATTTCTGGAAAGTCATGTTGAGGTCTTTGGGACTTTCAGGGCAAAGATCAGGCTGCTGTAGTTTTACATACTGATCACTTCCCTCGCTTGTTAATTATTTATTTGCATATTTATATTGTAATGTATCTGTATTTTTAATCTTTTTATTTTTCAAACAGACAGTGATTACTGTGATTCTTTCAGTCTCGGAGATTTAATTATTATTTTTTATTTTAATTTAATTTTTTATTAATTTTCTTTTCATTATGATATCAGCTAAAAGCCGATATCATAAATCTACAATCTTTTCTGTTCTTTAAATCCATTTTTCACAATTTGTGTTGGCCCAATATGGGATTTTTAATTGCTGATGCCAATACTGATGGTGTTGGATGACCAATATAAAGGCAATTGAGCTGTACAGCATTACTGAGATGTAATCTAATGAATAGTCATACTCTCTCTCTCTCTCTCTCTCTCTCTCTCTCTCTCTCTCTCTATCTATATATTTTTTATATATT